TTTTATGTACTTAACTGTATGAATAATCTCACCCAGGAGCCCTGGCCCTGCCTTCTCTCTGTGGTTCCTGGGAGCTTGCTCTTCAGCCCTGATGTCGAGCATCGCTCCTATTCAGGTGGCCAAAACCAAGCAGCAGATCGAGGAGCAGCGGGTCCAGGTGCAGGTGGTGGAGCGGGCCCAGCAGGTGGCAGTGCAGGAACAGGAGATCGCCCGCCGAGAGAAGGAGCTGGAGGCCCGAGTTCGGAAGCCCGCTGAAGCCGAGCGCTACAAGCTGGAGCGCCTAGCTGAGGCAGAGAAGTAAATGCCCCTCCCAGGCCCCATCCTAGTCCTTTATGACCTGGGTGCCCCCATATGAAGAGCTGAGGCCTTCACTACCTGAACTCCTATGGAACTCGAGTTACAGACGCCTGTGTCTCTCGAGCAGGGCCTGCCTTTTGGCCCTTCCTCAGCCCCTCCCTCCACTTCCCTTTCTGTGCCCAGGTCCCAGCTGATCATGCAAGCTGAGGCAGAAGCTGAGTCTGTGAGGGTGAGTTAAGAGGTGGCTCTTGGCGGCTTGTGGAGCAAATGGGGGTTGTTGTTTGAGCTGGGGTTTCTTGTCCTTAACAACAGCCGTCAGTCCCACAGTTTCCTATACTGTTTTCAGATGCGTGGGGAGGCCGAGGCCTTTGCCATAGGGGCTCGAGCTCGGGCCGAGGCCGAGCAGATGGCCAAGAAGGCAGAAGCGTTCCAGCTGTACCATGAGGCCGCTCAGCTGGACATGCTGCTGGAGAAGCTGCCCCAGGTCTGCAGGTGGTGTGGGCACCAGGAGAGGAACAGAACCAGGGAGTATAGGGTGGGGGGAGAAAGGAGGGGCTTGGGGAGAGCCAGACTAGGGAACTGTAAATTAAGGGTGGGAATTATAAGCCAGTGACTGAAGTGAGGAGGGATGATCCTTACAAACTGAAAAATGTCAATGATCTTGAAGCCCAGGGTAAGGTGTTTGAGGAGGGGTGTGATCAGACCACAGGTGCTGAGTGTGCATCTCTCACCTACCAGGTAGCAGAGGAGATCAGTGGTCCCCTGACCTCAGCCAATAAGATCACACTGGTGTCCAGTGGAGGTGGGACCATGGGGGCGGCCAAAGTGACCGGGGAAGTACTGGACATCCTGACCCGCCTGCCGGAGAGCGTGGAGAGACTCACAGGCGTCAGCATCTCCCAGGTGAGGGTCTCTAGGGTGAGCACCGTGGATTTCCTGTAAATTTCTGGGATCCCCAGGCATGTGATGCGGTAGGCCTAGTACTAGGCCCGCACCCAGGAGGCTCCAGAGTCATTGACATCTTTGTTTTCTATATGCTAGATGTGGTGCTAAGCTGCTGCTGCTACTGCTTTTTTAGAAGGAATTTATTTATTTCAGAGGAAGGAGAAAGTTTGAGTGGGGGGAAGGGGAGAGGGCAAGACAGATTCCCCACTGAGCAGAGAGCCTGATGTGGGGCTCAGTCCCAGGACCCTGGGATCATGACCTGAGCTGAAGGCAGAGGCTTAACCCACTGAGCCCTCCAGGTGTCCCCAGAGTGCTAAGCTTCTACACAAATGGTTGGTTTTTGTTTTTGCTTGTTTGTTTTTTAACGAAACTGTCCTTTGGGTATATAGTATTTTACAAAGTAAAGAAACAACTTTCAATATGTTAAGGAACTGTGCCCCATCATACGGCTGGTAAAGCTAGATTTCAAACCCAGGCTGACTGTCTTCTAGAGCCTTGTGGTCGCCCCACTAGTACAAGGAACTGGTTGTAGCCGTTACTGCTTTTCTTGGTGCCTGTTTATTTACCTACAGATTATGACAGAGGTCAGAGAGCAGGATATGGAACCATAGTGAATCCTGGCTCTGGTCATGCTAGCTGTGACCTTAGACAAGTTAGCTACTTCTATGTACCTTTTCCTCACCTTAAAATCAGGTTAATAATAGTATCTACTCTATTGAATTATTAAGGGAATTAAATGGGTATTTGTAGTGTTTAGCACAGTGCCTGGCACATACTATATATGAGAGTCCTTAAGAAAAAATTATATAGGGGCATCTGAGTGGCTCAATCAGTTAAGCATCCAGCTCTTGGTTGCAGCTCAGGTCATGATCTTGGGGTCCTGTGTTGGGCTCTGTGCTTAGTGCTGAGTCTGCTTGTCCCTCTCCCTCCCCCTGCTTGTGCATATTCTCTCTCAAAGTACCTTAAAAAAAAATTACATATGTAAGTGAAAGCAGTAGACCGTAACAGTGACCTTCAAGTTAGATTCCTTGGATTCTTCTTGAAGCCGGCATTGAAAGCCCTGAAAGATGAGCTAAGGAGAGTCTGTGCAAGCAGGGTTCTAGCCCCGTCCACTCCTTTTCAGTGATTTTTTTGCTGTGGACAGGTCCTGATGACCACTTGACAGAGGGTAAGGTAGGGTGGCAGAAAAAACTTCTTAGAAGACTTTTGAAATGCATATCCTCCCTGCAGCCCTCATCCAGATGGGGAGCTGGGAGAACAGGTTACGATTCCCAAGTTTCATCATTGTTGTCTTTTTACCAGGTTAACCACAAGCCTTTGCGAACAGCCTGAGCCAACCTTCGCTCCAGTACCTAGCCTCATGGTTGCCAGAATAGTACCCATACTGCATGCACAACTGGCTTCCCTGAGCATGCCCTTGACAGTGGGGTACTCCCCCCATCTCCTTGCCAAATAGCCTGTGCCTTGCCTTGGAGGGGAAAGGTTGCTCTTCCCAGCCCCACACTGCCGAGACTACCAGTCCCCTAGGGGTTCCATGCCAGCCTTCTGATTATCTTACTCACCCCCAACTTAACTTCCTAGACCACGTGCACCTATTGTCTAGAATTTTCCTGACCAAAACTGAGGGATGGCCTGAGGTTAACTTTGTCAAATCAATTGCTGTTAAAAAGCACTAACACTGATTAACAATTAACTTAATAAAGCAGAACTCATTCAAAATTAATGCTGGAATGTAGCTTACTCCCTTCATTCAATATATTTTTTAGAATGGAAGAAGTTGGGGGCGCCTGCGTGGCTCAGTGGGTTAAAGCCTCTACCTTAGGCTCAGGTCCTGGGGTGCTGGGATTAAGCCCGCATTGGGCTCTCTGCTCTGTGGGGTGCCTGCTTCCTCCTCTCTCTGCCTGCCTGTGATCTCTGTCAAATAAAACCTTAAAAAAAAAAAAAAAAGAATGGGAGAAGTTACCTTGTACACTGTTAAAATTGTACCACTTTTTTCCTGCAAAGTTGGTTATAGGCAGAAAATCATGCTGAAATGGAAGTAGTGAGAATTGACGTAGTCCCAAAAACTACTGAAAATAAGGAAATTATGGACTTAAATTTCCAGGGTCACTCTGAGATTTTGTGTACTTAGAAGCATGTTGTATTAGGTTTAACGGTGTTACTTTAGAATGGGACCATTAAGTGATACTCTCCACTGGTTAACTTTCCCTAATGTTAACTGAGAAAATCCCAAAGGGTAAGAGAAAACATCAAGATACCATAGCCCAAACGAACCCTGTATGCCCTGGATGAGCTACACATTTTATATGGGGCAGTGGCTCTCAACTCTGCATTTGCCAATATTCTCCTGGAGTAGTTAAAAATAGATGGCTAGTTAACTGGTTTCTGGTTGGGTGGGCCTAAAGATCTGCATTTCTAAGTTCCAGGAGGTTGTTGATGGGCTGGGAAGCACTTAAGCCCTACTTAACGTTCATCTCAATTCTCATTGATCCTGTGTATCTGAGCCTATGGCTATCCCAGTTATTGAGGCTGGTAGTGAGGTGCTGGGGTAGTTTGGGTACTAGGATTAAGAGAAGAGGCTGGAGCACCTGGGTGGCTCAGTTGGTTAAGCCTCTGCCTTCAGCTCAGGCCCTGATCTCAGGGTCCTGGATCGAGCCTGCATCAGGCTCTCTGTTCAGCAAGGAGTTGCTTCCCCCTCTCTCTGCCTGCCCTTTTTTTTTTTTTTTTTTTTTTTCTTGTAAAAAAAAAAAAAAAAAATTTAAAAAAAAAAAAAAAAAAAAAGAGGGTCCATTAAGTATAAGAATATTCTCATCAGTTCATGGAGAGCAAAGTGTATGTGGTGCTGAACTTGAGCCTCCTGTATCCACTGGTACTCTTTCCCTAAATGAGCACACATCTCGCAACTTAATTTTTTCAGTTGTCATTTATTTTTGGCTCTTGGGGCAATGTTATCTTTTCAATATGAAAAAAAGCAAGTTCAACACAAATAGAAATTTGAAGTGTAGGACAGGATGAAGCCAAGGGCAGGGGAGGGAATAGCAAAAGGAAAAAATGAGATGTTGCCAAAGATGGGAGGGTCTCCTTGTCCCCTCTCTGGAATAATGATTCAAAAGATTTAGGTGGCAGTACAAACCTTTCTGTATATATACAGCAGAGCTGGGTGTTTGCTAAGAAAGGGTGGGGATGGGGAGGGTCTTTCTAGAGGCTAGTCCCTCTTCCCCTTCTTGGCCCCCTTCTCCAACCAGGGGAAAAGGAAGGAATCCAACATATGAAGGTGGTTATGTAGGAAAAGGGAAGGATCCTGCTTTAACAGGGTGGGGCAGACCCCTGCAAAAGAAACAGCTCAGGACACAGCTTGGAAGACGGAAAAAGAGATAATACTGTCAAACACCTCTCCTGAAGCTGAGAGGAGCAGGGAAATTCCTGGAAATTAGGACTCAAGAGCCTGGATATCCCTCTCCAAAACTGCTCTAGAATAGAAAACCCTACCCCTTCCTTATAGGTACCTCTACTGCTATGAGGTAGCTTTGTTTCCTTTCCCCGGGGCTACCACATGGGCTTAGGATGGTGGCCATCTACTGGGTTTTAAGCACTTGGTTTTAGATGGGATCTGATGAGACCCAGCTTCTTGGAGAATTATCTTATAAAACAAAGGGAAATACCAACTGGACAGATGGGAGAAGGGGACACCGAAAGGAAATACAGGGTTACGGAGAATGGCAGAAATCTAGGTTTCCCAGAGTGGAAGAGAGGAGACATTCAACAAACAACAAGTATTTATTGAGCGCCTATTATGTGCCAGGCACTGTGTTCTAGGACTACCCCCCTCCAAAAAAGGAAAAAAAAAAGAGACAGAGGCAGAAAATGTAATTCTGAGGGAGAGGACAGGGGCAGCTGAGGAAGAAGGCTGAGGGAATGGAGAAGCCTGAGGTGATGGTGCTCTTAGGCCTCCTCTTCAGCCTCCTCACCGAAATCCTCCTCTTCTTCTGCGGTGGCATCCTGGTACTGCTGGTACTCGGAGACAAGGTCATTCATGTTGCTCTCAGCTTCAGTGAATTCCATCTCGTCCATGCCCTCACCTGTGTACCAGTGGAGGAAGGCCTTGCGCCGGAACATGGCTGTGAACTGCTCTGAGATGCGCTTGAAGAGCTCCTGGATGGCTGTACTATTTCCAATGAAGGTGACTGCCATCTTGAGGCCACGAGGTGGGATATCGCAGACTGCTGTCTTGACATTGTTGGGGATCCACTCCACGAAGTAGCTGCTATTCTTGTTCTGCACGTTGAGCATCTGCTCATCTACCTCCTTCATGGACATCCGCCCACGGAAGACAGCAGCCACAGTGAGGTAACGGCCATGGCGGGGGTCACAGGCAGCCATCATGTTCTTGGCATCAAAGACCTGCTGGGTGAGTTCAGGCACAGTGAGGGCCCGATACTGCTGGCTTCCACGGCTGGTCAGAGGTGCAAAGCCAGGCATGAAGAAGTGGAGCCGTGGGAAGGGCACCATGTTGACGGCTAGCTTCCGGAGGTCAGCATTGAGCTGACCAGGGAAGCGGAGGCAGGTGGTGACACCACTCATGGTGGCTGAGACGAGGTGGTTCAGGTCTCCGTAGGTTGGTGTGGTCAGCTTGAGAGTGCGGAAGCAGATGTCATAAAGGGCCTCGTTGTCAATGCAGTAGGTCTCATCTGTGTTCTCTACCAACTGATGGACGGAGAGGGTGGCATTGTAGGGCTCGACCACAGTGTCAGACACTTTGGGTGAGGGTACCACACTGAAGGTGTTCATGATGCGGTCAGGATACTCTTCTCGGATCTTGCTGATGAGCAAGGTGCCCATTCCAGAGCCTGTGCCCCCACCCAGTGAGTGGGTCAGCTGGAAGCCCTGTAGGCAGTCACAGCTCTCTGCCTCCTTCCTCACCACATCCAGGACTGAGTCAACCAGCTCAGCCCCCTCTGTGTAGTGGCCTTTGGCCCAGTTGTTGCCTGCCCCAGACTGACCTGGAATGGGGTGGAGAGGCAAGCTTGATTAGCAAAGAAAGATAAAGGACCAAATTTCCACTTTTTAACTTTTGGACTTGTGTACACAAATGTGCCTTCTTTCTCACTCACCTGTAATACATCCCTCCCCCATTATTTACCAACCAGGGAGTCACTACCAACGCCTGTATTAGAGATTTCAGAACACGGCCCTGGTTAAGCACTCCAGTATACCAATAATCTACTAGCCCTTGCTGTCTCCTTTACTCAAATACGCTGAACAGCATTACCTATTAATATGTGTATAACTCACCAAAAACAAAGTTGTCTGGTCTGAATATCTGCCCAAAAGGACCTGAGCGAACAGAGTCCATGGTTCCGGGTTCTAGATCCACCAAGATAGCACGAGGAACATATTTGCCACCTATATGGAAAAAAAAGAGTCAAAATTGGCAAAGGAGATCACCTGGAGCAGGGAGACCGCCAGGGACCCTAACTTGTGATTCCAAGTGCGGCCACCAGGGGGCAGAGGAGCCAATCTTTTGCCCCATGGTGGGCAATCAAACCAAGGCCTCCTTTTAAAAAAAAGAGATCCATCCAAAAATATTAAGAGGTTCTCCAGGGCTGGAAGAGACCCCAGAGAAGCGGAAGAGGAGATGGGACCCAAGATTCCCTGGACTCCCAACCTCACCTGTAGCTTCATTGTAGTACACGGAGATGCGATCCAGCTGCAGGTCGCTGTCACCATGGTAGGTTCCAGTGGGGTCGATGCCGTGTTCATCACTGATAACCTCCCAGAACTGCGGAGGGAAAGCAATGCGACTTCCAGCCAATTATGCCCACCCGACCTACATACATTTTAATCCCGGACACGCCCGTGGTAAACCTGGTTCTAGGGCCTGTGGCATTCCCTCCCCCTGCCCGCCATATCCTTCTACTAGACATCCCCAACTCCAGGAAAGCTGCAGCTTTCATTGCCTGGAATGTGAGACGAGGTGCAACTGAGGAGGCCTGGCGATCGCAGGAAATTGTAGGTTTGGAGTGTGAGGAGAGGGAGATGGAAACGGCCAACCAGACTGGACAAGCACAACTTCCTACCGCGCACAATGGGCCGGTGTTGGAGACCAAATGCTGCCGCAATCGACCACCCCCCCCACCCCGCCCTCCACGTGACTGCAGCGCCCGCGCCCGCCGCGCCAGTGACAAAGGGAGGTGTCGCGCGTGGGCGTGGTGTGAATACCGCCCACGAGAGGCGGGGCTCGGCTTGGGCTAGGGCGCCCCCAGCCGGCCGGCAGGGCCGCATTGTCCCAGCGCGCCAGGGGCGCCCGGGGCTCCGCCCTTCTGCTACAACGTAGCAGCAGCACTTCCTCCCTGCCCTTCCCCCGCTACACTGTAACCGCGCGAAAAAAAAACCAAAAAAACCAAAAAAAACAAAAAACCCACTAAAGAAAACATCCTCCACCCCCTGCCTTGGCCCCGGAATTTTCTTTCTTTGCTAGCTTTTTACTCCTTGCTTTAAATAAGGATTTTCTTCCTTTCTTCCACCGTTTAGTCCTGAGGGACCCTTTAAAGAAAAGGACTCTCCTACCCTCTTTCTTTATATTGGTTCACGCCCTAAGAGGGTCTCTTTACGGGAGATGCAAGGAAATAAAAATTAATCCAGCAGCTATTAGTCTTCCATCCACAAAGAATTATGGGACCGCCCCTCGGGAATCGCGGGCGCGCGAGATGCCTATCTTTTGGGAAGGGTACCGAGCAGTGCAGCCCACCCTGGCGCACCGCGTCCCCCACCCCACCGTGGGATCCAGGCTCCCCTCAGCCGCCGCCCAGCCTCGCCCCTTCCCCCTCCGGCGAAGCCCAGCCAAGAGTGGATGCACATGGGGAAACCTCGCCTCGCTTTGTCTCGGACGTTTCCGCATCTCCCTCCCTCCCCGTCCTCGGACCGTTAGAACGCTTTCAAATAAAATCTTACAGAACCACGGTCTTCCCACCGCCAAACCGAAGGGTCCTTAACAGCTTCCACCAAAATGAACCAGCCAAGACTAATTCCCCATTTTTCGCAAACAAATTCTAGCTACAAACGTCTATTATATATGGAAAACTTTTGAGGGGCAAAGCTTGACGATGGGTGGTATGCAAATATATATCACAGCCATCGTTAATCTGGATTTTTTTTTCTTCTCTAAAGAAATATAGTTAAAAGAAGAGGTTCAAAATCCTTACCTTGGCACCGATCTGGTTGCCACACTGACCGGCCTGGATGTGCACGATTTCCCTCATTGTTAAAATTTATTTTAATTTTTTTGCTCGCCTCAAGGTGTGTACGGGGCAAGAAATAATATGGAATTTTTTTTTCTATATTGCTAGTCTCAGGCTGGAAGGATGGGACGTGTCCTGGAGGATGGAGCAGCGAGATCCGAACGCAGCCGCAGGAAGGTTCTGAGAGAGAGAAAAGAGAGGGGAGGGCGAAAGAGGGAAGGCGGGCAGGGCGGGGCGCGCGTGCGCCTAGGCTGGGAGGCGGGAGAACAGGCCCCGCGCCACCGTCGGGAGACAAAGCCTTATCGAGGCTGGACCTGATTAGTCGATGCCAGTCACGTATAAGACATCCATTGGTCTCTGCTCGGATGGACGAACGCAAGCCTCACTGGGAGTTGTAGTCCTCCATTGTTGTCCGCGCTGCAAAATGAAGGGATGGATGGGTGGATAGTGGATTTTTGCTTTGGGGTTTTTTTTAAGGTTTTTTGTTTGTTTATCAAAAATGACCTTGCGCAAGTTTTCTTTCACCTATGCCTGAGTTTTTTGTACTAAAAGGGCGTAGTTTTCGGGAATACAGGAATTGGGATCCCTAGGGTGCCAGGCGTTGGAAGGTGGAGTGGGCACGCCCTGAAGGCTCCCTACTGCGGTAGCTCTTGGGAAACGGGCTGCTTCGCTCAGCGAAAACTGGGGAGAAATGCGGCACCTTGCTCTGCTACCTAATAGCTGGTCCTTTGGTGACCCAGGACATGAACGCTAGTAAGATGCTGCTCCCCCAGACAGGAAGAAAGGGGGGATTGCCCTCCTGCTGTTTTCTTGGAAGTTTTCTAGTGATAACCTTTAGAAACAGAATTGTAGCAATGTTTTTTCAAATTAGAGATGTAATTGTCTGAGGGTGTGTTCACAGAGTAAGTTGAATGGTTTAGAAAAACTGATATCTGAAATCTGTGAAGTCATTAGTTTCTGTCCATGTAAGGGCTTCTGGACTTTAGAGCAGCATTGAAGACACTGCTTTTGTCAGAGAACTATGGGATGAGGAGCCTGAATTTCAACGCCTTCCAGCCTGCCTCTAGACATTTTGGTGAAAGTGTTTTTCAGTTTGCTGAATTCTTTGACTACGTGGCTGGCCCTTGCAATCTTTCAAAAGCCTCAAGATTGAAACAAAAGAGGGGGGCGGATGGGAGAAAATAGGATGGGCTCAAGTCAGAGTGGCGTGCTTCTTAGGGGTTAATTCCTTTGATAGATACTAAGTGTCCGCCAATCCAGAAGCTAAGGATACAAAATGAGTAAAAATTGGTTCACCGTCTTCAGGATTTTGCAATTTGTTGGAAAATGTATAAACAATGGAGTGTGGTAAGCACTCTAATAGGACGTGTATCAAGGTTATTGTTAATTCACAGTGCATTCAACAGATTTCTCCTTACCTAAACAAAAAATAGACCTCAACTTGTGTAAGACCTTCGCTACCCACTTAAAAAGAGAGTATTTTACGTTTCAGGGCATGATCACAATGAAAGCAATTACTTTATTGGGGCGGGGGGAGTTCAGAATTTAGAATTACAGGACTTGTTTCAGTTGTTTCTCCCTTACATTGGCTGTAGGAACCTCGGCAGGTCCTGTAACTAAGCAGACTTCAATTCCCTCTGTAAAATCTACTTCTCCCTATTTGTTGTGATCGGAAGAAAGTGAGATAATGAATGCAAAAGGACTTCCTAAAGTACATACATAATCCAATTGTTACTATTCTCTTCTCGTCTTAGTACAATGAAATATGATTTTTATCAACCTTCCTCCACCTTTTGAAAGACCTCAACCTTTAAAATAGTTAACAAAACAATTCTCCCTCTTCGCCTACGGATCCTTAGGAAAATGACCTCCAAATGTCCATCAGGTATGTAGTCTCCGGGAGGAAAGGACAGAACTTCCACTAAAAAAAAGAAAAGAAAAAGCCAAATCAAAAGGAACTGAAGTTCCACTGCGATGGAGAGGCATCAAACGCCACGCCTACGGGCAGTTCTCCAAACTGCAGCCTCTGGCCACGACTGCAACCCGCGCCTCATTTTCGTTTCTCATGAGTCAGCGGACTCCATGTCTGGGAGGACCGAGGAAGGGTTCTACCGCCGTAGTAGACGCATCCGGCGACGGCACTAGTAAGCCCCTCTATCCGCCAGCGGCGCCCAGACTCTGTGGTCGCGGTTTGGAAATCTGCGCGGGAAGTGGGCAGCGGAGGGTGAAGCAGCAGTGGGTTGTGCCTTGGAGCTGCCCAATCGAGGTGCACCATTCCGTGCGCGCACCGCAGCCTCCGATTGCCGCCTCCCTCAATCAATTTCAAGAGCCCAGGAAAAGCCGCCCCTTTGAGCTGTTACGGGGGCGGGGGCGAGGCTCTGGCTGGGCCTCTGGGCTGGGAGCTTCGTCAATCGTCGCGCAGCGGGACTGTGACAGGCAGCAGCAGGAGCCAATCAGCTTATCGGCGCCCTCGCGGCCCGCGCTCCAGCGCCACCGGGTCGCGGCCGTTACTGGTGGCGCGCGCGCGGAGACTCAAAGTAGGTGAGTTCTGGGGGGCCTCGCCCACCGCTCCTCGGAAGCCATCTTGGTTCTCTCGGAGGGCGGGAGGGGCGTGCCTTGGGCGCGACTGGGCGGAGGACACTTGGAAGGTTGTTTCTCGGGATTATAATACTCATCCTTCCTTGACGTCCCTCCCCGAGTTTAGGTATGAAGACGGGGAAACGTGGGACCTGGAACCTGGAGGGAGCCCCCTGGGGTGGAGTTCAAAGATGGTGGCCCACTGGATTGGCGCCAAGGGCCCTGGGCTCCCGCTGAGTTCTCCATTCTTTAGGCCAGAGTTAGCACTATCCCCATGGACGCGGCCTAATTTCCCAGTCAACAGTTAACCTCTGCGGTGGCATCTTTCGGAGTGATTTCCACCCATACTGTGTTGACTTTTCATCACCTTTCATTTGTCCTTTCATCAGGAGGGCAGGGTTAATTTGACGTTTGGTTTGTGAAGAATGTATCCCGAGCTCTTTGAACAGTACCAGGTGCACAATAGGTACTGTCTCTTTGAACAGTACCCGGTGCACAGTAGGTACTGTCGAATGAATATGATGGGGCCTAGGGGAAAAGACACAGTTCTGCTGGTCCGGTTCTCCAGAGGGTCTGTGAAGGCAGAAATAGAATGGTTACAATATAGTGAGAAGGATTAGGGGAAGTACAAGTTCAATGACCAATGGGGACCATGTGGGTACACGAAGAACACTAGAAGGCAAGGGCAATTCCAGGAAAGTGACCTTTGAACTGAATCATAAACTATGGGTAAAAGTTGGACCAGAAAACTAGGAATGAAGGGCCAAGGAACTGGCTAAGGCATGCAGGTGTGGGGAACAACAGGAACAGGGTGTTCAGAAATTGGGAAGAAGGTCCATGCGGCTGAAACATAGGCTTTGGTAGAGGGGAGCAGGACCTGAGGTTCAGATAATGGAGGGTCTTGCTAAGGAGTTGAGATTTTATTTTATCCCGTGGGCATGGAAAGCCACCAAATATTAAACAGACAGTATCTTGGTGATCTTGGGCAAGTTCCTTAACCCACCTGTGTTTCAGTTGCTTAGCCTGATAAATGGAATATAATAATAGTAGTTTACAAGGTTCTTGTGAGGATTAAGGGAGTCTCTCATTGTAAAGTAACTAGAGCAGTGCTTCACACATAGCAAACCTCTATGTATGTCAGCTGTTAGGATTCTTTGCAGCTTAGTTTGATCACACTGTGACGTTCTGGTAAAATATAAAAAGCCTGGGTTTTGCAGAAGCACATTTATTCCTGTCCTTTCCACCTACCTGCTGTGTTATCCTGAGCAAGTCATTTAATATTTTTAGCTTTGGTTTCCCAAATGCATGCCTCGTATGTCTATTATGCCTGACACATAACACAGTGCCCAACACACAGCTGATGCTTGGCAAAGTTTAGCTCCCTTTAAAATGTTTTTTTCAAACTGTGGGTTCCAACCCAGTAGTGGATAGTGAAATCAATTTAGTGGGTTGCAGATCAGCATTTAAACAATAGTGGATGGGGGAAAAAAAGAGTGAAAACTGTCAGTGTATTGTATACCACAAGGCTAAGCATTGTTTCTCAAAATGTTTGTCTCTATACGTAAGCACATGCATTTGTATAGTTTGTGTACTTGGGACCTTCTAATATTTATTCCCTCTCCCGTAATATTTATGTTTGTTATAATCACAAATATTTTTGAAATGTTTCAGAAAGGTAATAACAGGATGATTGTCAGAAGGAGAAATGTCAACCATCACAGCTCTCCAGATTTACCCCAGTTATCAGCCTCCTCTTTAAGGCTGTGTGTGTGGACCTGTGATAGAGATGATGATAATGCGTTTCCTTCCCAGGTCATGGAGGACACCCAGGCTATTAACTGGGAGGTTGAAGAAGAGGAGGAGACAGAGAGACCCAGTGAATCCTTAGGGTGTAGCTTGGAGCCCGTAGGGCGATTGCATATCTTCAGTAGTGCCCATGGACCAGAAAAAGGTCAGAGGTTATTGGATGCTAAAGTACTGGTATAGGCCTGTTATTTTTGTGGGGAGGTAGTTGGAGGGTTGTAAGAAGCTTATACATGTTTCAAGGAGATCTGAAAAAATGTTTCACTGGGAATGCAGAGGAGGGGCCTGATTGAGTTGATTGTTTCAGGCAAGTACCCTGGGCTCAGTGGGCTCAGTTTTACTTTGGTAGGAGAAGATGAAGAGATTCATATGAAAATCCAGCATGGTCTGGAAATGGATGGTGGTGATAGTTGCACAACAATGTGAATGTACTTAATGCCACTGAACTGTACACTTAAAAATGGTTAAATAGGGACGCCTGGGTGGCTCAGTGGGTTAAGCCGCTGCCTTCGGCTCAGGTCATGATCCCAGCGTCCTGGGATCGAGTCCCACATCGGGCTCCTTGCTCAGCAGGGAGCCTGCTTCTCCCTCTGCCTCTGCCTGCCACTCTATCTGCTTGTGCTCACTCTCGCACGCTCTCTCTCTCTCTCTCTCTCTCTGGCAAATAAATAAATAAAATCTTTAAAAAAAAAAAAAATGGTTAAATAGTAAATTTTTCATATATTTTACCACAACAGAAAAAAATCCAATATGGATGGATAGGGTATTGACAATGAATAACACATTGCTTATATTCTT